ACTTTGTCCTTTAAAAATAATTCAAATTCATTAATTAAAGCTTTTCAGGATCAACAAAGATGTCTTTTTAAAAAAATGTCTCTGGTGCTAAAGAAACTAAACGTATTTAAATAAAGTAAATAAGTTAGAATAATATATAGTTTGAGTTTTTTTTATAAGAAGAAGAAAAAAACATGCAAATATTTTAAATTTAAATTTTTTAATTGATTTTAATAGTTTTTTGATATGACAAATTTAATTATTGTAATTGCAATTTAGTGAAGGAAAAAACATTGTAATGAAAGCACAGATTTATATTTTATTAATGTTTAATGTAACCTGCTTTATATATGCAATTCGACATTTGAAACAGCTGATGTTTCATATGTGTTATTGTTACTGCAAGCAAATGGCAACAACGATGTGAGTAGGGATGGTAATACCAGGATTTGGTACAGATTGTTTATCCCAAAATCCCGGGATTATTCTACGAAATTTCCTAGGATTTTATGGATCGTCAAAAAAAAGTAAAAGTTAATATTTTTTAAGCTTATAATTGTAATTAAGTAATTTTTACATCGTCTTTGGTATAGTAGTTTGGTTGTTGCTTTTTGTTCTCTTTAAAATGTTTTTTTTTTTATTTTATCACTAAAAATTCTCTTTCTGTATTTTATTAAAAATGATAACTCAAAATATTATTGCTTGACTACAAAATATGTACAATCAAACATATAAAATTTAATATTATACTCTCTCTCTTTATTTATATATATATGCGGTAGTGGTGTAGTGGTAGAGCGCTCGCTTCATAAACGAGTGGTTCCGAGTTCGATTCCTACCACGTCCCTGGTAGTACTCCGCTCAACTCGTTTCTCCGCGCAGCGGCCTTGTTCGTCAAGGTTCGCGTTTCGGAGTTATAGAGTTAAGAGAGAGTTATAGCCACAAATAAGTAGCCTCCTCGTCTGTAGTCGCCGTCTCGACCTTGAGGAGGTGAATTAAAATATATATATATATATATATATATATATATATATATATATATATATATATATATATATATATATATATATATATATATATATATATATATATATATATATATATATATATAATTAAAACCAGTATGTTATAAAAAATAAGTAAAATTTTAGCGCTTGCTGGTGGAAAGAGCAAGTGTTTTTAATAAAAGTTTTTATAATAAAGTTTCTATTAAAATTTAACTTTCTATAAAAATTTTTTCTATTAAACTAACTTAAATAGAAAAGTTTAATAGAAGGTATACCTCAGGCCTTTTGCAACCGGGTGGGCAGCAGGAACACTTGCCCTCCCCCCTTTCCCCTCCCCCTACCTTCCTCCTCCCCCTTCCCCCCTCCCCCTCCTCTTTCTCACCTCCACCTTAAAAAAAATAATTTTTTTTTTCAAATAAATAATTTTGAAGAAATTGATTAAAAAAATGACTTATTAAAGTTGTTCTATTTTTTATTTCCAATTATTTCAATTTCAAATATTTTTTTTAAGTCAATTAAATTATTTAAGTTAATAAAAAACAGGTAAATTACATAATTTTCTTAGCGTCTGTTTAATTAATGAAGTCGTGCACATTTATATTTAAGTGCTCGCTTGCAAAGTTATAAGTGCATATACATTTTTTGGAAATTATTTTTTTTAGCTTGAATAATATTGGGCAAAATATTAAATTAAATTACAGCATAGCAATCAAAAAGTGTTTTTTTTTTGTTTGTTTTTGTTTTTTTTTCTAAAAGGTGATTAGTTAGTGAAAATTCTTTACATTTTTTCTAATTTAGCATATTGTTATATATCAATAACTTTTCTTGATTAAACACTTTCATAATTTTTGAAAAATAGTATACATTATTTAATCATAATATTTTAAAAAGGCATGCAAAAATAAACATTAATAAAAAAAAATAAACAAATTATTTTAAATATTTTAATTAGATAAATTCTTCTCTTCTTATTGCCTTTTCCAACCATCTTCTCATATTTATGTAAAAGGCATTGCACTGTTGACTATAATTATTATCAGGTGATAAAATATATTATAGAGTTTCTTTAACAGTCATATCGGGATAAGCATTTCTCGTGGATTTGAAATTGGGTTTTAACATTGAAAAGAACTCTTCGATTGGGTTCAATTCAGGGGAGTATGGTACTAAAAACTTGAGTAATATTTTTTTCTCTTAGTAATTGAAGTACTGCAGCTGTTTTATGAAATTTTGCGTTATCTAGAATAAGAATTTTATTTGGATTTACTGCAAAGAATGGTACTAGTTAGTTGTTGATGAAATCAATAAATGATTGTGTATTGTATGCGCCGCTTTTGTATTAGTATTATTCAACTCCTAAATTGGAAATTAAGCACATGAGGCTAACATTTTGTCTTTTATTTGCAGGAACTGTCAAGTACGCTTTTGTATCTTTTGGAGAATAGCCATATGAGCGCACTGTATGTTTATTGAATCCGGTTTCGTCTGATAAAACCAAAAATGAATCAGCAATTCTAGCAACTTCTGTCGCAAAAATTGATCTTTGATTTATTCTTTCCATGGTGTTTCTTTCTTGAGGAATGATTGCTAATCTTTTTCGTGTCAAATTTAATTTCTTTAATTTACGGCAAACACTAGATTGAAACGTTTTTACCATGTTTTTCTAAAATTTGTTAGAATTTCTTTTTGAACTACGGCATTATTACAGACCACGAAATTAAATGTTGTCTTTTCAATGTTTGTTGAACAGACAATATTTATTTTCGTGGACAGACAATATTTAAACACAACCAACAGCATTTCGAGTTAAATTGCAAGCGTTGGATTTTTCCTTGATTATTTTTCACAATTTCTCATTGAAATAATCGTATTTTTAATTTCTTCTGTAATTGTTTTCTGTACTTTTCGATCTCTATTTTGTCAATTTTTAACAGATGGTAATTGAAGTAGAAACAAAAATTTATTAAAAGTATACTTTTAATATTAAAGTTAATTAATTCAATATGTTCAAATGATTTTGAAAGTCATTGTACTTTCTAATGTCATATAATAAAAAAATGCATCATTGTAAAATGTTTATTTTAAGTGAACTTAATTGCATAATCTAAATTAATTTACTCTAGAAATGGAGCTGACAACTTTTATTTGTCATTGGTCAAATATTTTTCTTTCTTTTTTATAAAGAAAATTTCATGGAATTAACAAAAGAAGTTTTCCAATTTTTATGTAATGTAATTTAAAAAATACACAATAAAGATTCCAAAAATTTCTTTAAAAACTGATTGTTTTTTTTACTATATGTGTGTTTATTTTAAATTTTATGTTTTTGCATTTAACATTTTAATAAAAACATATTTTATTTTTGAATTGTGTAATACATGTTTATATTTTGCAAATTAACATAAAAGTTTTAGTAAAAAATGTTTATATTTGCACATTGAAAAAGTAATATGGTTGATTGTTTGTATACTTTAAATGAATGAAATTTTAATTGCAGCTCTTTCCTTTAGTAATGTAAAAAACAAGATATTTGACCATTAATGCTTTTAGATAATATATTACTTTTAAACAACGACTTTTAGTGAGTAAACATTTTTTTAATATAAAATAAATGTGCATATAATGAATAATATATAAATAATAATGTATAATAACAAAATAAATATTATATAAATAAGGCAATTTTAATAAATGACCTCAGTCAGATCAGGTTTATCCTGCTACTGATAACATGTAACCCAGTACAATCTGCTTCATGTCCTGCTGCCTTGTAGGATATGCCTTTTTAGCAAAGGCTGGGAGATGCAAACTTTGACATAAAACACCCCCTGCCTTAGGGCTCTTGGTTGAGTAAATGCTAGAGATGGTGTTTCGATAAAAATACTCATCTTGGGCAGATGTTATGCATCCGGCTGCTGTCTTGTAGAAGGCCTCCTAGGCAAAGACTTAAGGGGTAAACAGATTCTATCTGTTGACCAGCTTTGCACCCCTTCGTCATCTATTAGGCTGGCGCAGATGTATTTTTAATACATTGTTTCCAGTTTAGGATGTTGAACGCTGGATCTTCTTGACTCGATTCATGGGTTTTTTTTTTGTGTGTCTGTTTTTATGACTAGGCAACTCATTCTATTATCTCCAAATAAGGGTATGTAATTTAATCAGAATCACATCAGAATATTTTTTATAGTATGTTTAGAATTTGCAACATAATTTTAAAAGTTTCAATACGATTAACGCAGAAAAACATTACGCAGAAAAACAAGAAAAAGTTTCAACTTTAAGGTCAGCTTCCTGCAAACCTATATTGTATCAAAATTTTTTTTGCCAACCTGATGCTGACCTTAAAGATTGAGATCAGCATATTGTTGCCAGTGGTGTGCTGCTACATCGACTGAGGGTTTGGGATGGGGAAGCAATCGTTTTATTTATCATTCTTCGTTTTTTTCTTCTTCTTTTTCGAAAAAAACAGTTTACCTTGAAGTAAGCACGAAAAGTGAGCAAATGCTTATCAAATCACGCTTTAGTAAGTGTATATATATATATACACACACATATATATATACACACATACATACATACACATACAACCCTCGGAATTAGGAAAAATTGATCTTTTTTAGGTCAGCATCATGTCGACAAAAGTTATTTGATATAAAGGTCTGACCATAAAACATAGAAACAAGGTCGACATTGCAGAATGCCGATCCTAATTCCATGGGTTGTATATATAAAGAGAGAGAGAGTAGATAGCATTTTAAGTTTAATGAAAATATTTTTAGGTTATAGATGAGAAAGCTAAAGATTTGCAAATGCAGCTTGAAAATGCAGAATCAGAAATAAAAACATTAAAATCAAGACTCAAAGAGTTAGAGATAATACAAGAAAAGGTCACAAATCAAGAAAAAAACTTGCATTTATTAATGAAAACACCAGTTACATTTTGTTTACAAAAGTTATTTTAAAATGTTCAGAATTTGCGTAATGTTAGAGCTATATTTGCTTCAGGAGAGAATTTATTTCCTGCTCAAATTCAAAAAATGGTTGATTTGATGTTACATTCACATAAAAATATTAATCTTGGTCATATAAGACACTATCAAAATGTCATAACGACTCAAAGTTTTATAAAAGAACATAATTATCAAATATCTAATTGCACAAATAAAGAAAAGTTACAATCTTTAATAGAAGCTCGTGATAAAGCTATTAAAAAACTTGTTCATGACTTTCTAATGTTGGATGTTCCGATGATTCAACAATATGTCTATTTTCTAAAACATTTTTATATTGATTATTGATCTCCCATTGAACAAATTTCAACTTGCTCAACCGCTCAGCTGTTGGTAGCAACGCTACATGTTTTAAAAAAACTTTTATTTGCTGTTGAAAAATTTGAAACCTTACCAATGCTTAAAAATGATAAACTAAATGCTCTGCAATTAACTGCTAATGAAAAAAGCAATAAATTTTATACAGCTCTGAGTGAATCACTACATGAATGTCATTGTGTAGTTAAGGATGTCAAAGGTGAAGTGGAAAATGTTGACAATTGTATAAAGGAATACGAAGAGGCAATTTTTGAAGAAATCAATCAAATAACTGTAGGTTTCTTTTTATTTATTTTATTTTTTTTATTTTATTTTTTTTTATTATTATTATTCTTTAAATAAAAAGTAATTAGATCAATTTATTATTGCATTTAAAGTTATATATTATATTTTAATTAAAATTAGAATTTTATTTTTAAGGCTTTAGAAGAATTATATAATAATGAAAATGTCTTAAGCGATGTAGTTATTGCATTAGAAAAATCCATATCATCTGAAATACTTGATATTGAAATCTTACAGTATGTTTTTAAATTATTTTTTTTTATTGATTACGCTCTCAGTAAGTGAGAAGCATTGAGATTTTTTGTTAGCAAACATCATGTTCATATTTAAAAGCAAAAATTAACTTGAAATTTTTTTTGATAATTAATATATTTATAGAATTATAATTATTGTTAGTTATTGTTATCATTAATTATTGTTATCATTAGTTATTATATTATTATAAGTATATATTCGTAGAAAAAATATTTCTTATAGATAAGTTTGTTTTATCTTGATCTTTATTTATTTAGATCAAACATGATTCCAAAAATGATGGTATAATTATAAATTTTTTTCTTTAGTTTAAATATTTATTACCTTTTATAACAAATCTGTAGAACTTTCATTTTAGTTATGATTATGTAATTTAGTTATGATTATGTAATTTAGTTATGATTATGTAATTAAATATGATTATGTAATAATATGATTAATTATTTTCAGAATAATATTTCTTATAGATTGTTTAATTGATTTTTACAGTTTAATTGATTTTTTTTTTTTTTTTTTTTTTTTTTTTTTTTTTTTTTTTTTTGATATGATTTAATTGCATTTAAAAACATTTATAAACTACTAAATTTTATGTCTATGATATATCTTATTTTAAGTACTTTACGACTTACCATTAATCATTTTCTAAAATGATTTATGATGAGTTATGGTAACGTCTCTCCTTTTTTAATTGGCATTATAATTTTTTTTTTATATATCATAAAATTGCATAAATTCAGTCACCATGTAACTTTGGTCATTTAAAAAAATATATTAAAAAAGCATGCGAATCTTAAATTTTAAACTTTTTAAACTTTTTTTTCTCAAATAATATTTGTAACTAGTTTGTAAATATGAATCTATAAAAAACTAATAAGGTTTATATTCAATCTGCTGAAAGAATTCTTTAGCAAAACAACAATTTGAAAAAATGCATACTATTAAAATGTTAAGTGAGCAAATTTTTAAAGTGAAAAATTATATTTATTCTTAGTATTATTAAGAATCACCATATTAATTATATTTACAAAAAAAAAAAAAATTTTTTTTGAAAATTGACTACTTTTTTTAATAAAAATTAGTGAAATTTTGAACTACTCTAACTTTGGTCACAACAAATGAGAGTAGCAGTAATATTGTAAAATGTTGATATGTGTTGCAAATGTAAAATATACCGTTTACCTGCAAATTTACCAGTCAATTTTGACATTTTTATAATGGGTACACACCATGGTATTTTATTTGAATAAAAAGTTTATTCATAATAATAAAATTAACTAACGGCTCTTTGAATTCTAAAAAGTATCATGCTTGTGGCATTTTTTTCGGAGATAAAATTACAGCTCAACGACAATTATGGATGTCTTGCAAATCCTGTGACGATTGGTTGTGTGGATCTTGATGTTCTACTATGGTCAACAATATATACAAGAATTGTCAATAAACATACAAAGCTCATTTAAAGTAAAGTAGGGTGAATGCAAGAACCAAACTTAAGTCAAGTTCGACTTGAACTTTATTTTGTAACCAATAGCGACAGAGTATTTATTTAGGGGAAAACCCATACTCTGTCGCTATTGGTTGCAAGGTAAAGTTCAAGTCGAGCTTGACTCAAGTTCGCTTCTTGCATTCCACCCATAGTGTTTTGTTAATTAAAAAAATCTTTTTAAATTTATTGAAAAATATATTTTTAATTTTCTTAAACAGTGGCGTAGCAAATGTGACAATAGCCGAAGTAATAAAATAGTTGACTAATTTCAATAAAAATTCAAATTACTACTACTTATATTAAAAAAGGCCTTTTTTATGCGTTTCTTCTTGTTTTCTTTAGTGCCCCAAAAGTCTTCTTTTTTTTAAGCCTGGGGCGATGCCCTCCTTAGTTACTGGTATTACCTGTATTTATATTATTAACTAATTTTAAATGTTGTTTCACAATTTAAACAACAATTTAAATTAGTTTTCATTATTTGTGACGTGAAGTTTGTGATACGTTATTAGTATTTATTTAGCAAACTTATGAGAAGGTAATGAAAGTTGGATCAAAGTAGATGTTTTCATTTTAAATTAGATCTTGAGTACTTGTTTTTATTTTTCATTTTTTTATTTTAACAATATCAGTTATCAATATGATTTTCTATGTTTCAGGAAAAAAAAATTTTTTTTTTTATTCTTCGTAAATAAATGTTCAAAGCTTAAGTGATCGAACTTAAATAATATTATTTTATTTTAAACTAGTTCATTGATGTGACAGGTGATAATCAGTTTTTAATTTATTATTTTTTATTTACATTGTAATTATATAATTTATATTGTCTAGTGTAAGATTATGTGTTTTACTGCTTTTATATACTGCACCTTTTTAATATTTATATATATAGCTCAGGTTACTGCTCTCATAAACAGAGGATTCAGATTTTGAACTGTGAAGGCGACGCTTTTTCTATTCTTCATGTTATATCTGAACTATTATTAGTTATTATTTTTCTTACCTTTTTATCTATATATTTTATTGTTTTATTCAAATATTTCATTTTGATATGATAAAATGTATAACTTCCAAATTATATTTGGTTGTTTCAACTTTTTGCCATATGCAATACTACACTAAAAGATTACCATGTCTAATATCCTGGTTGCCATTCTCTAATGATAATCGCAGCATTAAAATGCACACCAATGATGTCATATTGAAATAGGTAGCAGCTGGGAAATCAGTACATACAATGACTGAGTATCTAAGTAGAAAATGCAAGGGAGAGCCCCTAAATTGACTAATGATTTAGGTTGTGGGAGCAACCTTTTTTTTATGAATCTTTGTTTTATTTTTTTTTTCTAAAAGATTAAAATGCCATTTATATTTAAAAACAACTTATAACATAATTATTTTTAGTTGGCCCTATGAAAAAAAGATGAATTTTGATTTAAAAATTACTAAAAAGTAATTTTGAAATCTAAGGTACATTACTCCCTGGGTCCCATTAAAAACAAAATTCTCTTAAGGTATATCAGCCAAGGTCTTCAAAGGACCAGAATTTTATGTAGAAAATATGAATAATAGTGGATTTAATTAAGGATAGTCCATAAAGTATGTACATCTGGAGAAGGAGATGAGTCTGCAAATGGTGTATATGAGTTGAGGGAGGAGTAGGTCAATTATAAAAGTATGGAGATACTAAATTAAAAAATTTATCATGAAATGTTAGGATAGTAGGTGAAAAGCGTTGGTACTTTTAGGAAAGTAGAAGGTACTCAAAAGCAAACGGTAAAATGGTCGGGGGGGGGGGGAGTGGGTGGAATAAAAGCAAACATACTTTATAGACCACTCCTTAGAAGTTGTATTAATTGTTTCCAGTAATTCGACATAAATAGAGACATGACACTGATACTGTATACTTATCCAAAAATATGTAAAAAGTATAAAAGAATATATAAAAAATATTTTGCTTGAAGATTCATTTTATTGTATTTTCAGTAGAAGTTTTTTTAATTTTCATTTAGGAAAAATATGTAAGCATTCTTAATAACAAACCTGACACAACAAATGTTTTTATTATACGTAAAAAGTTAAAAGTTTTAAAATCAAAACACAGATATCTTCTTGCTGATATAAGTGACATTGAAGAGGTATAGTTTTAATATATTTAGTTTTTGTTAAAAAAATTATAAACAGAAACCAAGCTACAAATTTCACTTAATTTTTTTTTTATATATATATATTTTTTATTAATAAATCTTTTTTAAGGATTCTGAAGAAAATGAGAGCGTTAATGTTGAATTGGTATTAAATATTTGATTTAATGTTTATCAGAAGTTTTAAAAGTTTCAGAAATTATTTATTAAGTTTATAATTTTTAGCTTGAAGAGAAACTGAAAGAACTTAGAAGAGATCTTCATTATGTTTTTGTTGAAGAGCTTAAAGAAATGGTATTTTTTATTTGTTTGATTGATTGTTTTATTAACTCTTATAAAATAATTATTATCTCTTATAAATAAGATTTAATGGTAAATTAAATACTATAAAATTTTATCTGAAATTATAACTAACACACAAATATATATATATATATATATATATATATATATATATATATATATATATATATATATATATATATATATATATATATATATATATATATATATATATATATATATATATATATATATATATTCCTTATTATGAATTTAATAAAATTAAGAATGTTTAAATAATGGTAAAAATCTAATAAATAAAATATTAAATTCTCAATCAATATATTTTGATATGTGTGAATATTTATTTCACACTTATCCTGTTTGTTTTAAGTGAAACACAATGTGTCAAGTCAGAAATTAATAATTACAAATGACATTATAAAACAGTGGTTTTATAACTATTATAACATATAGCAAACTATATATATATTATAAATTTTATATCTTTCTGTTATTAGCAAGGTCTTTGAGACTTGAGTTTAATAAATAATAACATCCCACTTTAAGTCAAATAACTTATTATCAGACAATCAATATAATTTTTGATCAACACTTGCTACCTGCTTTATTTCAACTCATTCATTCTAGTAATTTCCCAAGGTTCTATACTAAGTGTTTTGTTTCTTATCTACTTATATACAGCTTTTCAAGTCTTTTATCAACTGCTTTCTTGCTTATAAACTCTATTTTCTGTGTTTTCTAGTAATTCCCAATTTAATAGTGGTTGCTTGCTTCCTTGTTGGGAGTGAATCAGAATTATATTAAAATTAATATATTTTAATTTATTTAGCTAGTGTTTAATTAAATATAATAATGTAAGATATGAATTCATATAATTAATTCCTAAAGCTAATGCTATAAAACAAAAAGCAAGTAAGAAAAACAATGAAATTAAGAATTTAGAGCTTTCTCAAACTCAGTGAAAAATAGTACAAAACAGGGGAGAACTCCCTAATTTTCCCTTTTATTACATTATAGCATTATTTTGTTTTTAAAAAGTATTTTTAGTTTAAACTCATTTACAATTCAATTCCAGAGAAAACTTTTAAATCTATATGAAGATTTTCCCGAGTTAAGTCAACTGTATCCTGAACTTCATCTTGATAAGTTTAAGGTAAACTTTATTTTATTTTTAAGATTTTATTAAAGAAATATATTTTCAAAATAAGACTATAATTAATAAATATATTATTTTTCAATCATATATATTAAAAAAAAAAATTAATATTTACGTTAATATTCCTGTATGGTAATTGCAAAAACGGAGCATATTGACAAAGTCCAACATCGCAGTCTACATTCTTATCCTACTTTTTGTTTTATTTTGTGTTTACAACACGTCACACTTTTTCAGAGCATTTATCTCTTTCTGATGCTTAGGCAGGATGGATGTTATCTCTTTCTGATGCTGAGACTTGATGGATAATGTTGATTGATTGTAAGCGATTGAGTATAAATTTGTATTAGCAGTGTTCTAGGTTAGTATTAGCAGTGTTCAATAAAGTTTGAAGCTATGTTTTACAAATTATTTGAGCATTTAAGGCTGCTAGATTGATTAAACAAGTAAATACTTACTTATTTAATCAATATTATTTACCCTTTTTTCTTTTCATTATGTACTAAGTCATCATTTGGTCACTTTTATCAACACTTTTCATATTTTTATTGTAATAATCAATAACTAAAGGAGTTTTCTGCACCTCTTTTTTTTTTTTTTTTTTTAAACATATTTAGTTCAATCAATAATACAAGTTGAGATAGTAAACTTTTTTATTTGTCCAATGTTAATATATTATTAATTTTTTTTTTTTTTAATTTTTAAAAATTATACATTAGTATATTTTTTTAACTCACAAACTTTAATAGCATTAGGTAAACCTTTTAGTCTTTGTAAATAGTTTCTTTAGTATCTGTTGATCTTAGTAATAAAGTATCCTGTAGGAAGTATATAAGTTATCAATATCCAGTTTGTAAAATTCCAAAACACCGTTAGAAAGGGACGGTTCAATAGTTTGTAAAACTTTAAGATGCACCATATTAAGTTTATAAAAAACACTGGTATTTACTTACTTATTTAATCAATATTATTTACCCTTTTTTCTTTTCATTATGTACTAAGTCATCATTTGGTCACTTTTATCAACACTTTTCATATTTTTATTGTAATAATCAATAACTAAAGGAGTTTTCTGCACCTCTTTTTTTTTTTTTTTTTTTTTAAACATATTTAGTTCAATCAATAATACAAGTTGAGATAGTAAACTTTTTTATTTGTCCAATGTTAATATATTATTAATTTTTTTTTTTTTTAATTTTTAAAAATTATACATTAGTATATTTTTTTAACTCACAAACTTTAATAGCATTAGGTAAACCTTTTAGTCTTTGTAAATAGTTTCTTTAGTATCTGTTGATCTTAGTGATAAAGTATCCTGTAGGAAGTATATAAGTTATCAATATCCAGTTTGTAAAATTCCAAAACACCGTTAGAAAGGGACGGTTCAATAGTTTGTAAAACTTTAAGATGCACCATATTAAGTTTATAAAAAACACTGGTATTGCAAGCTTTATTGAAAACCTTATATATATTTAGAATATTAGTCTTGGCTGCACTGCTTCCATCTAATGCACAAGATTTTTGCTAAAAAGATAAGTCAGCAGTTAAATGAGATGATGGAAATCTGTATTGATTGTCAGAGTAGGCTGCTAAGCTGAAGATATTAGAAGTTTGATAATTATTGATAATATTACAATAGCCTGATGCAGATACCATACGATACTGATACGGTGGTTAGATACAGATCAGAACTGTCTCTAGATATTTTACTGAATTAGAATTTATATTCATTACATTAAACAGTAATTAGGTGATTCAATTCTAATTTTACAACAAATAGGTGAATATGTAAGTACCCAGGCCAATCATTAAAGTATATAAATTGTTTGGTCGCATTAATAGGTTTTTTTTGTTAAATGTTTTTAGTTGTTACAGATTCAAATAATTTAAAAGATAATTACTCAAACATAGATAGTACATAGCACTCATAGCAATAATAATAATATACATATAGCAATAAGCTATGTAGTTGGCTTTACTCTGGTAAGCAATTTAAGCTATAAAAAATTGCTCCTTATCTGGCCTAGACAATCCACACCAGAATTAATAACAAGGATACCATCCATGGGCAATATAGCACTGTTAATATTTTTTAGTTAATGATGGAATCTGCTGTGAGACCTATCACAGAGTTAGGGAACTTGTACTTGTCAGCCTCAAAATTATTAAGCTGGATTTTGGTGCTATACACTCATTATAAAATTGCAGATTAAGTTGGATATCCACTACCAAGAGTATGCAAAAAGCCATAACTTAAGTCAAGAATGATTAAACCTTCGTCACACTAGGTAAGAAACAAAATATTGCAGTTAATGACATCTCTGTTTAGTTATTAGAATAAGATAAGGTATAAGACGGGTCAACAGAAATTTTCTTAAGAATTAATTAGTTGTTCTTTATCCTGCCTGTCAAACAATAGACTTTTGGACGTTTGTGAGTTAAAATCTACTTTTAATGAATGAATTTTTTTAGTCAGCCTAGTTAAATAAGTTTACAGACCGATCAAGTAAATAAACAATATTCTTTGTTTGTCTAACAGAAACTGCTTAAAATACTATACTAAAAGTAGATACTCAAAAGTTAAAAGAATTACCTTTTTATTTTGGTTGATTATTATTTTAATAAATATTTGGTTGAGTTGCTAGTTGTTTTATTGTTTTTTTAAGCAAACCTTAAACTCTGTTTTATGTTTGCTTAGATAGTTTATTAGAAAAATGGCTCTAGCTTATCGTGGCGTTAGCATAATAGCGTTTTATCTCCTTTTTTTAACGTTGAGAGAATTTAGCTTTTGATTTTAATGGATTAGTTATTTTACAACTGTTGTTGTTTATATTGATAAAATATATGCCTTTTATATTATTTATGTTTTGTAAGTAATCTTATATAATTAATTTTTTGATTTTTAAAATTTTTTGTTTACAAATTATTTGTTAACTTCAACTTTATAAAATAGGTTTGAAATTAGCAATGAAAAAACAAAATCAAACGTTTTTTAATTTTTTGTAATAATAATAATAAGATTGATTTATTTAAATTATATAATTTATAACATAAAAATAATACAGTGAATAGAAACAGAAAATTAAATTTTTTTACCCTGAAAATTAGGAGATAAAACCTGATAATTCTCATGTACCAATACGCTATTTTGTCTTGTAACATTTTTTATTACTTAATACATAATAATAAATGTGTTCTGAGTAATCAACTTTTTTATTACCTAATATAATAATAAATGTGTTCTAAGTAATCAGTTTTTTTATTACTTAATATATAATAATAAATGTGTAATCAGTTTTTTTATTTATTAAAAGTAATCAGTTTTTTTATTACTTAATATAATAATAAATGTGTTCTAAGTAATCAATTTTAACAAATTTAATGTTTTGATCTTTTATTTTAAGGAATTTTGCAAATTTTTTATTTTAACTTTAAAAATTAAGTAAGTATAATAAATTTTGTTGAATTCTGTCAGCATTACAAAAAGGAAGATAAAACTCTATTATTCTAAGATCACGACATGATTAAGGATTTTTATCTATTACTAAACTTGAAGTTTTCTTAATCTAATTTTTTCAGCCTTCAAGCCATTTCTCAAATATTTATAATGTAAAGAAGGCTGCATGTAGTGTTTTAGTTTATTATACGTATTATAGATAGTGGTTTTTGTGTGTTTAATATTACTATTATAAACTGTTTGTAAAATATAGGTATCTAATGGACTGCTTCAAAACAGTCGAAGCTTAGAATATTATTCCCATACCCCGATGGTAATACTTGGACAAAAAAGCAAACAGACAACATATAAAAGTTTTTTTAACAATCAACCGTGTGTACTTAAGGTAAGTGCCTGTCTTCATTAAATATCTTGTAAAATTTTACCTGTAAACTATATGTAAATGTATATAGTTATGTAAAGATTCATTTGTATAAAATTTTTTAGGAGGTTGAATTAGATAAAAAGTTTGTAACCTACACTGACGTTTTGTCCCGGTTAATCGAGCATGAAAAATTGTTTGAAAGACATGGTTGTCAAAGATGGCAAAAAACTGATTGCCTATTTAAAGATAGGGTAATTTTTTAAATATTTATATTAAGTGCGATTTAGCTTCTTTTTCTTTTAGTTGTTAAATTTTTAGGGAGAACGTATACTTTATATTCAAACTTCATATTATGAAGAAGGAAACATTGAGGAATTCTTTAAAAGGAGAAAACCTAATAATAGTATCATTGCTAATATTTTAAAACAGATTCTGCTGGCTGTGTATAGGTTTTTTGCCCAATTTATGTTAATAATTATGTGCAATTTTTTAACGGTTGGTTCGGTTCCAACGCCTTTCTTTGTTTCTAATTAGTTGTTAAATTTTTAGGGAGAACGTATACTTTATATTCAAACTTCATATTATGAAGAAGGAAACATTGAGGAATTCTTTAAAAGGAGAAAACCTAATAATAGTATCATTGCTAATATTTTAAAACAGATTCTGCTGGCATTAGACTCTCACGACGGAGTATCTCTGAAGCCAAATAATATATATGTAAAAAACGAAATGGATAACTATGTTGTTGTCTTAGGCGAACCAAACTTTTTTGAGACAATGGTAATTATTTTTTTTATTTATTTATTATTATTATTTTTATTATTTTTTTTTTTTTTTTTTTTGCGCTTGAATGAAAATGGTGTAAAGTGGTAGAATTTTTGAAAATTTTTTGTTTAAAACATTTGGTAAGTTTAAGGCTATAATGATGTGTATTAATGATAAGCAATAATGGTGATGCGGCTTTATTTTCTAAGGTTTCTTGTGTTTTGAAATTAAAATTTTGTTTAATATTATTCAAGGAACGCCGTATGAATTCAAGTATATTTGTGCATAAGTCCATATTAGGGTACCCTGTTCTTGATATATTTCAAGAACAGCCATCACCACAGTTTGACGTTGTTTGCTTTGCTGGGTTAGCATTATGGGTAATTTTTTTTATTGTTGTTTTGTTTTGTTTTGCGTAATTTGTTATTATTTTTTTTAATCTATAATATTTTGTTTTATTTTTAGTTGTTGTATCCGGATGGGCCTTTTTCGCAAAATATCCATTCAGATATTGAAGTTATTGTTCAGGCGAGGATTTAGTGTATTGCAATTTAAAAGTGTTGTGATTTGTCAGGGGGTATTAGGGTAATTAAAATGTGTATTGCTATTGAGATAAGTTAAGGGGTATCGGGGTAATTAAAATGTGTATTGCAATTGAGATGTATTCTGCCTTAATGATAATTAAAACTTTTCAGGATGGAGAGTTAAAAACCTTGTTTAGAAGAATCTTAAGTTTGACACCGGCTGATCGATCCACTTTTAAAGAAATTTTAGTCCATCCTTTCTTTGCAAATATAAATTTGGAACGTGAGGTGACAACTGAAATAACGAATGAAATAAAAGATGTATTTTTTTTATTTTAATTTTTGAATACTTTAAAAATGATTTATAAAATTTATATAATCTACATAAATGTAATCTTTTATCTCTATATGAAAAGTATTACAGCGGTTATTTTTTAAACTAAAATTTTGATATTCTGCAGTACGATGATGATATCCTTAGTTCTGATACGTTGCTTGTTGAATTAGTCGATAAACCAGATGATCTTATGAAAAAGGTAAAACTATGATCTACGTAATAATACAATAAGACCACCTGGTTGTGGTCAATTAACTTTTATAATAATATTTTTTTGATAAATAATATTTTTATTTATGATAATACCTTCTCTTTTTTTAATTGTTTTTTTATATTTTTTTATATTACATTTTATATTCATAACAGAAAAAAATATTTCAGGATGATTATATCGAAGAAATAAAAAAAGACCAGTGTTTATCGATTGACAGCGATATTGAGAATGTGGAAGTTGCACTTTTTGCATGGTGTGATATGCTAGAGAAAAAAAATCATTTGCATAAAACATTAATCGCAAAGCCCGAAGAGTCACTTATTTTTGATAATGAAGATTTTTGAAATATATTTTGTTTTTTTATCTGGTGCTAAAACAAAGCCAGAATTATCTTTTTATCCTTTTGAAAAAAATAATGTTGATTGAATCTTGATTTTTTTTTTTTTTTTTTTTTTTTTTTTTTTTTTTTTTTTTTTTTGCGGCTTTCAGCTTACGTTTTTTTTAATTCATAATTCAAAAAGTTGGAACGAAATATTGACGAACCTAACCGTTCCACAGTGGCCCAGCTATGGACAAAAGATTAGATCATGTCAAAAAAATCTTTCTGAAATCTTCTAATCTTTCTGAAAATTATATATATATATATATATATATATATATATATATATATATATATATATATATATATATATATATATATAATATATGTGTGTGTATATATATATATATATATATATTTATATATATATATATATATATATATATATATATATATATATATATATTATACATATATATAAAATTTATTTTATATATATATATATATATATATATATATATATAAAAGTTATTATACTTGTTTTTTAATAATTCTTAATCACCTTTCCGGAGGCTTTACAAAAAAATGTTAACTTTTTATCATATTATTATAATTTAGTACAAAAGTATGGTACACATTGAGTACAATTTGCTATGGTACAAAATTTTACATAGCAACAACTTATTTTTACATTATTGATCGTTCATAAAGTACGTACGCTCGGAGAGGACGAAGGGGTCTGCAAATGGCGTATATGAGATAGGAGGGCAGTGGATCAAATATAAAAGAGAGGAGACACTAAATTAAAAAAAGTATATCAAATGTTAAATAAATAGTTAGAAGTGTAGGTATTTTTAGGGAGGTAGTGGGTACTCAAAATGCGGGGACCGACGAGAAAAAAAAAGCGTGCGCACTTTATGGACAACCCCTTACTGTTATTCAAACAATTTTTTATTCCTTTTATGTACACTATATTAAATATGAGATTCGCACTTCTTATGGAAGCCATAAAATTAATTAGTTGCTATGGGTACTTTTTTTTATTTATTTATTTTTGCATATCAACAGTATTAATTGTGCCAATCATTAAAATAAACATGAAAGATGGTAAAGTGGCATTAGCCTTATCAATTGAGACCAATAAATCATAGTCCTGCTCAGTGTGTGGTATCACACCAAAAGAGATAAAACAATATTGAAAAATTAGGAGCAAAATAATGAAAATGCAGACTAGTCTGGTCTACAGAATGGCTTGCCATTATTACATATATGGATTAGAACGATGGAATGTTGTCTTCACCTTGCTTACAAAATAGATAATTAAAAGTGGCAGGCACGTAGCGCAGAAGAAAAGCTATCTGTGACGGTAATTAATAATAGAATTCAAGATGCCTTTAAAAATCTTTGATTTATTTTTGAGTTCTGGGATATCTAATGATGGAAATACAGCTCGTCTTTTTTTCCAATCTAAAAGTATTATGACTGAAATTTTAAAGCTGGATGTACTACAACTGAAAAAGTTGCACGTTATCTTGGCCACATTGTCATTAGCTCTGCTAATTAATCAAAAACCTGTTAAGCAAGTTTATTTTTTAATATTATTTCTATACTAACTTAGCTTTGATTGATTGCCGCTTTTAGGTGACTCATTTGTTTGTACAGTGTTACCATGGTATGTTTATCCATTATTCTTTCAATGCGTCATAGTGGTCTCAACGCAGAAATTCCTGAAAAGCACCCCCAAACCATTAAGCTTTTTTCAACCTAATGTTTAAGGTTTCCACAGTGTACATTGGTTTTAATTGTTAACCAATAGGATTTCAAACATTTTGTTTACCTTCTGAACCACTTATGCTAAACTTAGATTCATCTGACCATAATACTTTTCTCCACTGTTCTTTTGTCCGACTTTTGTAAGCTTTTGCAAGTTCCAAAGTGGCTTTCGGTTTTTTGTACTTTTTTTTTGCTGCACAATAACCATACAACCCTGCTTTATCCAAACGTCTTCCTACAATACTTTCTGGAATATTTAGATGAACATCATCAACACTTGCACTAGCAAATGGGTTCTTTTTTACATGCCTAATAATTTTACGATCAGTTTGTAGAGTACTTTTTTTTTGGCCGTTAACCTAAATGCTCAATTTCAACAATTCCTTTTGTTTATATTAATTAACTAACCGGCTTTTAACTCCTTTTGACATTTTATACTTTTTACATATATCACTTTGTGTAATTCTATTAATACAATCTTCAATGATTTTTTTGTTAACAAAACTATTATTTTTATTACGAGCCATCTCGTCACTTTTATGCTACAATATTATGAAAACTTCTGCAAAGCAAGACTCTTGTTAATTAATATAAAAAAAAAAACTTATTACAATTAAAAACATCTTTATAAACTAAAAACATTAAAATGTTTTGAAAATAAAGTTTACTTGCTGTGCTATTTTACGAATAAACTGTAAGATAAAAGCTCTATTTGTTTTGAAACAATACAATTTTACCAATGTTTTATGTACATTAGTAAAAAGCAACGAAAAAAGAATCAAAAAAAAAATAGGACAAAATAAAAATATATTCTCAATTCACCTGTAATTAATATATCTAAAAGGTTTTAGGTCGCAATCTTTTTATAATTATTTAAAGCGTTTTTTATTCTAGGAAAATTATAATTTTTTTTAGAGTTTCTTTAGTTAGGGAGGATAGAGGTTTTTATCCTGTACAAAAGCAAAAGTTTATTTTTAGCCTACTAACAGGCGATAAAAGGTGTGAACTATTTGCTGTTGCCTTTGCAGATAAAATATTAGGTGTTAAAATGATGCTAAAACCCTCAGTATCTTTTACCAGTTCCTAAAAAGAAAAACTTCTAAAGTTTCTATTCTATACTATGTAAAGACGCAGTGGGCACGGGACGTAAAAAAGACGTCTTTAAACGTCATTTGAACTTCTTTTTAACGTCTTTTGAACGTTCAAAAGACGTTATATTTTGGTCCGTGCCGAGTGGCGTCGCTGAGGTTGGTGTCACCCAGAGCAGTAAGTTTTTATTGTGACCCCTCCAGACTAGCAGGTGA